GTAAAGAATAGGAGGGATCAATCCCTGAAAATGATGCCACATGTGAGTCCATCCAATTATTACCGTCCTACAAATAAGAAGACCAATGGGTTAAGCTCGGCAGGCAAGTGTCACTAATTTGACAATTTAAGTTTCTGCTTCACCAACTCTGCAAAGGCTAAAAGAAGTGGAGAATATAACTCCTGGCCAACAGTGCGACGCCATTTAGCACCTTCTCCAATATGATCAATTCGGAGATAAAATTTTCCTTGGATCTGCAAAAGAATTAAATCCCAAGAGTTTGCTAATGGTTATGCCACAGAAGTAACTCACAGAGTGAGATAAGCAGTGACAGACAAACAGGCAAGCAGACACAGACATTATTCCATCTTCATAACAGCCATAGCAGAGAGAGTAAATCTAGGCTAAGATAAGACTCAAAGGAATGTCTTCCTAATATGATAAGTTGGAAAGATATGCTTACAGTTAAACCTTCACATCTGTCAGAGATGCACACTGTTTCGTTTAATACCTCACCAACACCTCTCACATCATCATGAAGCAACCTCCTAGGAAATGGTGCAAATACATTTGAGATGATAAGCACATAAGGAGCTATAGAAACACAAAAGTAACGTGCTCTATGACAAACCTGTGAAGCATCAGCTCAATTTGACCATCCACCAAGCTGGATCCACCCACTGAACGGTCTACCAACACTGAGAGCTCCGTACTATCATCTTGCATGTAAATTCCAAGATTGATCTGCAAAAAAACAAATTAGAAAAGTGAAGCAAGAATTGTTTAGTGGACCTGTCGACTTTAATGTAGATAACCCATGGATCTCATGGACGTAATATGGTGAACCAATGTCCTCCAAGAGTTATATTCATCTTTTATAGCATATGATTATAATTTCTAGAAATGAACCAGAGAAACAATCATACCGGGTAATAATTTCCAGCTACTGGTTGGTTCACTTGAAGGTCCCAGTCTTTCCTAAAATCTCGAATCTGCAAATATCAGATTTGACTAACATGAAGTAAAATTGTATTTCTTATGAAAGGTTCAAAAACAGGATTGGAATAAAAAATCACTTATTGAACAAGAAGAAGTCAAAACTAGAATCCATTAAACTTTACATGCATAAATGTCAGAGACTGGAGATCAAATATCAAAATATAAACCTCATCAGGACAGATAAAGCAACAAATAATCCTGTGTGGTTCAAGAATTTGACAAAAAGAAAGCAGCAAGTGTATCATACCCGTTTGATGAAGTCACGCCCATTAGAATCTGTGTAGAATGTTCTATTGGTCTTCATTGTTGTTGTAATTTGAGTTAT